CCGTTCACTACCAATTATCGGGAGCGCAGTTCTTAGTTCACATACGAGAGAGCCAGTATCACTCATTAGTGAATGATTCGAGCCGGCCGTTCGGAAATAAGTGTTAAACGGCGAAACACGTCGTTGTTTCATAACGTTTCAATAATGTGTAGTCATCTGTCGGTTTTTGAACGTTTCGAGGCGCATTTCGGCATAAGGGCATTGAATACCGACGGTTTCCCGCCTTTTACTTGTCATACCACGTGAACGATATATAATAAAGTACTTAAAGAGAAAATTTCCATTGAAAACATTCTACTCTCTGATAGAAAGTTGAGTGTAGAATTAGCTTAAGGTGGGATTAATAATTATTCTTTGACATTGTTATGTAATGTTTTTCTTTCCTCTGAAATAAAGTCAAAGGCTCATTGGACAAAGCTTATGAAATAGCTAGGGATTCTAAAGCCATGGATTATTTTTTAAATACGAATTGGCAAATGTTTGAATATCTCGCCTGTGAGCAGCGATGTAGTTTCAAATGATAAATAGAATTATTTAGTAAAAGCCTATTCACTGTGGCACTGTGATTATTCTGTTTTGGGTTATTGTACTTTGCTTTTCTTCATTCAAACAATTGTAATGATGCCGACATTTCTATTCCCTTCAATGTACTATTTTTTTATTTATGTGTTTTAATCGTCTTGAAGTAGTAGCGTAATTTAAGTAACTTTCTGTAATGATAACTCGTTGAGATACGTTCTTGTGTCTTTGCCCTTACTTTGTACTTTATGACTGTATTCCGCGCCGTTTGTCTATCGAATTAGCGCGCGTTTTGAAACAAAGGCTATGTCCGTAGAGTCGGCCGTTTCGAAATGATTCCACCGAAACGACACGAACCTCTAAGTGCTCCGTACGGTGTACGCTTATTGGGCATTTAAATAATGACTCTATAATATCGACACAATGTCGCGTTATAATATTACATGCATCATATACATGTGGTTAATTTTAAGTCGTGTTTTATTCGAAAAAGTTGACTTTCGGTGGTGGAAAAATCTTAGCATAATGTTAGCCATTTGCTCTACTCTATTATAGAATAATATCAAACGAAAACAAGTATGGTATTGGATCTTGCTTCCTCAATCAATCTATAATGATAATTATCAAGATTAATTCAATATAATACAATTATCGGAATTAATTAATTTCGGAATTAAGTGTTTTAATACACACAAGCTATTATTAAGCTTTTTCATTTTAAGTAATAATTGTAAAAGTCGTTAACTCGATGCTTAAACTTCGCCGTGTACTTAAGCGAAAATCGGTAGACCGAGTCAAGTCGATGGTTATAGAAATAATTTATGGGTCGGAAGCCTTTAAGACGGAAGCTTTTTTAAACGTGTTGTTGTCTATGACGTTTCCTCTATTTTTTTTTGACAATCGGACACACGCCCTCGCAGCTGGTGGTTGAGACCCGAATGAATGCCTTCGAAAACGTCTTAACAAGCCCCTGAATGAAAGGAAGCCCCGGCTAGACTGTTGCAAATTGGTTTTTAAGTGTTCTGTCGCCACCCAGCATGGGAAGCTCTCAAGTGGCCGAGACGCCAGTCGCAATCGGACGAAAAATACTTCACTCAGTGCTCGTAAGCACATCACTGTGCGACAGTCTTACCACGGCAATTAGGTTCGATGAATTTGCACAACATTTTTTCTTGTGAAAATGAAAATGTCGCCTAACCTAATTTCTTCGACATTATTAAATTAAACTATATTTATAAATTAAACTTTCTTCGATATTTTGTAAATTCACGTAGATGACATACCCCTGATTACCACGTTGGTATTACAAACTGTAATTTTAACAACTATGATGTTTTTTTTTCAGTTTATAACTTATAAAGTACGCCATGATAATATACCCGGAAATAAAAAAATCAACTAACAACATCTTAATCACGCCGCCATTAAAGTCATAGAGAATAGAAGCGAGTTGAAAGCGTTCGATATTGTATTTAATGGGCTGCGTCAACAGCGGCCGCGTTTGCCGCCCCTTTTTAAATTTAAAACCACTTCAGCGACTAATCAGATTTGTAAAGACGCTACCGCTTTTAGGTTCTGTAAATGTGGTAAAAATAAAAATTATTTTTGAAGTTTTACAGACTACAGTTATGAATTAAAACTTTGAACTAAATTTGTGTTTTGGTTGAATGATTATCGTATAATATATCGTTGATCCACTTTAAAAATGTAAGTAGTACTCGGCATTGCCCAATAAAATAAAAAAAGTATTGTCGATTTGACAATTTGGAAGTATTCACGTTCAATTTTTTTTATTCTTTGCTGCGAAATTTAAGAACCATAAAGAACAAATCCGAGTCGCGTTCGGCCGACCCTATTCAAATCAAGTCGCCGGCGGAAAGCGCATCGGCTTCTTTGCGTCGAACGTCATAATAGCCGGGGGAAATAATGCCGATGAAACACACCGCATGGGAAAATATTTAATTAGACAATAGCTTATTTGTGTTTGTTTTGTGTTAATGTACTCCTTTTGGAACGCTGGGCGCGTACAATTAGCACCTTAGGCCGGCACCCGAACCAACGTTGGCCGGTGAACTTTTACGACAAGTCAATCTGAAACGCGCCGCGCAATTAGTCCCTCCTGTGTTTTCGAATGCGTAAACGTTTGGGCTGCGGTCACGAAACGGTGTAGACGTATTTTAAAATCACCTTTATTAGCTTGACCTGTATATCCCACAATGTAATGAAATCACTCGACACAATGTTTGACAGACTACCGCCGGTTTTAGACGAACGCATGGCTTGAAAATTTGCACAGATCGTTTCTCAGTAACGAGGTTTTACTCACTCCAGATTTGGGTGTACAGACATTAAAGAGATTACGAGTTTGGAACAGCTCTTTTACTAAAATTTCTCAGATTAAAGATTGTTTCTTATAATTATAAATAACATCGATATTATTTTACAGTTTGGTAAGAATTTATTTTTACCGAGATTTCGTTGTTTGTCTATTGTCGCATTGAATAATTACGCATTTTTACAGTTTTAGACGAATATTTCTTTAATCTAAAAATGACCGCCTTCGTTCTATTTCAATAAAACATTAAGAACGTCTTATGGAGTTATGATTTTACGCAAATGTATTGTATTATCTAAGCTACGAGCGGCTTCCTTTATTTGTAAGCACAAGTAGCTAATGTCTGGACAAAGCGGCAATGGAGATAAACTGGTGCTTAAATCAGAAAGGCTGCCGCTTAAAGAGCATGCTCACTTACAACTCTTTAACCGAATAGTTACTTACAGATAAGCAACCATACAAAACATTTATAAGAAGTGGCCTAAATATAATTTGAATTTCGAAGTCGCTTTGCCGTCAAAAACTTATTTTATGTAGATTATAACATGAAAAGCGAGAGTTATCGATTATCGGATCAGCTTGTTTATAATTAAATAGACCCAAGAGTATATGGTCTCTACGAAATACACTAAGTAATGTTTTAATTAAACTCAAATTTGAACTCATACTACTCAATGTGTGGTATAAGGGTAAATATATTAATACGTGTAAACATAAATCGATTTTGGTTATTTTAGTCTTAAAGACTATGTAAAGCTTCATCGAATACTGTCATTTTGTCCGAGATTGTGATGTTTGTGAAATCTGCGATACGATCTTTTACGTGCGGGAGCATTTTCATAAGAAATAATTACTTTAAAAAACTTTTAAGTTAAACGGTTTTATTTTATGTTTTTTTTTTTGTTAAATTTTTTTTGTTAATATTGTATTGTCATCTAAATTAAATGTGTGTACCAAATTTCAGATCAATCTGACAACGGCAAGGTGCTTAAATTTCAATTTCTAATTTTGACCCAAATAAATAAACAAACAAATTCCGTACGGGTCGAGCTAAATAAAACCGTTTAAAAACTGCTACAAGCTCTACGGGCCGTCAATGTATTATTCATTAGAAGTTATTACGACGTTCATCTAAAAGCATGCATTGATTCACAAAAAGATTTTGATACAATTGAGTGTTTTCATTAACATTTTATAAGCTCTCCACTATGATTTATATTTATTGGTGCTGTTATTTCCGCTAGGTATAACCTGTTCAAATAACTCGTTTTAGATCTATTCAGAGAAAATTTAACTGCCCCACCTAGAGACGCCAAATAACGTTAAACAAAAGTTTAAAATTCGTTTCGTTGACATGTGGAGCTTTGTTAAATACATTTTACTATTGAGGTCATGGTATCGTGGCCGTTGTTAGTAGACTCTTCACTATGGTACCATGAAGCAGTATCAACTGTAGCACTCGTACTTGGAAGTGTCATACGGGACCAACGTAAAATGGAAGTACTTACTCGTATTTCTGCAATTCTTGTGAGGTAAACAGGCCTACTCTTTTGAAGGTTGGCAATGGCATTGCAAAACCCAGATGTTGTAGATATCTTATCGCGCAGGTACTCACTTATATCAGAAGAACTGACCGCTCACTTACATAAAAATACTTAAATATTAAATAATGTTAGCTTATGCCTCGTTAGTTGTTACAATTTCATAGGGGAGCTAAGTTATTAAGTTAATGGTCTAATTTTTTTTTCCTTGTCCACAGAATCACTCAGCCCGCAATCAGAACAGATAACGAACTCCAACACGGCACCCGACCCAAACATAAGGTCGGTTTACACTTTTTATAACTTTGTTTCGTTGTGACGAAGGATTATTTGCAAGTAATAATTGAAAATTCAAGCTAAAATAGAAATTATGGTTTTATGATAGTTATTTATAAGTTGAGTAATGTTTAAATTAAGATCAAGATTACCTTAATTTTATCGTAGTGCTTTAAGTTAACAGATCAGTCAACTTAGAGATATTTATTTATCTATTTTATTACCGAAACTACATGTAACTTCAGCCAGTTTTTCTTGAAATATGAATCCCTGTTTGTAGCACAGAAATATACTTCGTGCCAGTTTTTCTTTCTAGTCCCTCTTCGTTAATGGGTTTCTTCTCATCAAACAGGAGATACCGCACGGCTTTTACGAGAGAGCAGCTGGCGCGGCTCGAGAAGGAATTCATGAAAGAGAACTACGTTTCCAGGCCAAGAAGATGCGAGCTGGCTGCTCAATTGCAGCTGCCTGAATCTACTATCAAGGTACTGTTCTCTATTAATAAAGATCACTGGAATATCATTAATACCTATTAAAAGAAACTTAGAAAAAAAAAACTGTTGTTGCTTCGAAGCAAAAACAGTTTTTTTTTAATTTCATTTAGCATCAGATTTGTTTTTCATGTATGAAACGCAGTAGAAATATGAATTATAATTCTTTTTGTTGGCTTAAATATGCAATGTTCTTGTTGTTATATATTGGTAATCTTTGAAACGAATCCAAATGATTCTCCAAATAACATGCTATAGAAACTACCCTGTGCTGTATAGATTAGATTAAATATGTGAATGAAGCTAAAACAACATTTTGTTTTAGAAATGTCAGTTTTCTGAAAATAATTTGGAGGAAACCAGTATGACATCAAATCTGAAATGAGTATACATTGAAATGAGTGTAATTGAAAAAAAAGTAGGAAGAGCATCTATGCCGTTGTCGTGAGATGTTGTGTCACGCGTTTCAACTGTCACTTTTGACATTTATTAGTTTAATTTGTAAACGCCGTTTCTTCATTCGCGTCTGTCCACCCACCCACGTGGTGACCCGAATAAAATTTACCTCTTCGTCCAATTATAACTTGCACACGAGGGCATTTACGTAATACGGAGACATTTGCGTGACATATATATTATATATATACACATGGTAAGTGACGAATGTCAGGATACATAACATTCCATGTTACTAGGATACGAAAAGTGACTGTGGAATTAACACTACAGACGTTACTATCTAAGTATTGTATGGCCCAATTTGCTCAATACGTTAAATTCTAAAACGCTGTTGTTTAAAGTACTCCGATAATTATGTCGACGCCTTGAGAATGATGCTTCAATTAGAGACACAATAATTTCCATCACGAACACTTTATATAAAGCCGCTAATTCGCAGAAATCACGTTACCGAAGTGTGAATGTTAGTGAAACACAAAATATATATGTTTAGAATACGAGAACCACGCGTCGTTTTTATGATTTCGAAACGTCAATCGAAAAACTTCTTAATAAATCGAATTACTCATTCTTAAAATTGGATTTCTCATTCGCGCGTAAACATAGGTTGTCCAGTCATAATCTCAATTATCACTTCGACTTAAAAAAGGAAGATTCAACGGTCCGTAGAAAAAAAGAACACGTGTTTATATTGCTTCATTCGAATTTTACATTCACGCTAATTTGTCGATGCGCATTAATAAAAGAAACCGGCCGAATTATTCAGTAGCTGTAGAACTCTAATGAACATTAATGCCGAAAAGAACCAAAACCCTCTCAGCACCATAAAACGGCTATCATTAGTGAGCGTGTGTATGAAAAGACTTCATCGGTTGTCTATGGACGGGCATCTGTTTTACGGTGCGATTATACCAATTAAAAACTATTAAATTAACCCGCGGCTACCATTTGATGCGTTGTAAAATGGAGAATTTGGTTCTTTCGTCTGTTTGTTTATTATGATGATTGTTTATTGCGTCAATAAACTTGCGATAACGTGAATGTAGAAATTTCACTAATGTGGCTTTCTCGACTCTCTCCCGTTACTTTGAAATTTGTAAGTTGCACATTTTTGCCTGCAAACGAATGCATCTAATTTAAACGTGCCGTTGCATTATATATGACAAATGTGAATACAAATGTCTTTTGAACTAACGATTTTTAAGTTTTCTTAATAAATGTACTAACACTAACCAAAGAAAATAATTAAGTATATCTTTACACCCATATATATTTTTGTTGTAAGTACGTTCAAATATTTTCTCTTAACACTGGGCTTCCGGTTTAAAATGATATACCTATCTAAATTATTTGCAGCAAATGAAAACCTGCCATTTTCTGAAAGCCAGCGCAAAATTCCCGCCAATTTGCACGTCTTTCGCTCCACCGCGAACAAAAGGCATTTTAAGACGCCTTAAAGGGAAACTTTGTTTGCATACTTTGTTGTGTTTCGCCGGGACGGCCATTATGCCGCGTTAATGATTTCGAGATGGCTTTAAATGTTTCTCTCTGCGCGCTGAATATTTTATTGCCGGCAGCTGTTTTTTAAATTATTCAATTAATTAGCGATGGTGTGCGAAAACGCGTTGTTGGATTATACGCTTTTATATAAGTGGCATATAATTATAGAGAATATTAATACGTACGTACGATGCTGTGTTTAATATAATGGAAACTAGTACGTTAATGGTAAAGGCAACATTTAATGGGGCATTTTGTTTTCTAATGTATTGATTACTGTTAATTAGTAAGTTCTGAACTTCATCTGGTGATTATGGTAACTGAGGAGTGAGGGGCTCTTTTAAAGGTTATGTGGACATCCATAGACGGCGGTTGACGATTAATATTAGGCAATCGCTTTGCTTGTATGTCACACTTTTAAACAAAAATTGCTTTAATTAATAATTATTCCATTGTTGTCCGCAGGTATGGTTTCAAAATCGCCGCATGAAAGACAAACGTCAGAGAATCGCAGTCGCCTGGCCCTATGCGGCTGTGTACAGTGACCCTGCCTTCGCCGCCTCGATTCTTCAAGCAGCCGCCTCTTCCGTGGGCCTGCCTTACGGGTATCCGTCACCGGCTCTATTACCCCCCTTCCACAACCCCCAGCTGTTACCAGCCGGCTACCCGTACCCATACCCCCCTTACCCACGATACCCCTACATCCCCCCCACACCGCCATCTCCCGTGAACCCAGAACCTTCACAGCTGCGGCCGCCATATTCGAATTTCAATCTGAACGTCGACAAATAGAGGGTCAATAGTAAATTGATGGATCTTAGATACGTCGCATTGCTCTGTATGTATGTAAATAGATTCCCCATGTAATATAGATAATTTATTCTTCGCTCATCATATCTACTACAAACCACACAAAGACTCTGTGAGAACTAAATGTATTATTAAAGAAATATAGTGATGTTAGCAGTACCGTAGTCATATCCATGTCGTAACTGATGAATAATAAAAGACAATTATAGCTATTAGTAGATAAGGTAAATGTCATTCCAATTTTTACGAAACATTATTTTTACTTATTCTAGTATGATAAAAATGTGTAGTTAATGATGGTTTTTAACACGTATCTGTGACATTATTTTCAGTAATAATTAAATAGATACTTTAAGTTGTAGTGTACAGATATAGAACAGATAAAATAAATAAATAAAAATTCAATTATTTCTATAATGTTTGATACAATTTGTTGCCGAGTTTTCCCAGTTAGTTGTCATAGACACTTGTAATAAAAGTAGTGTTTGTTTAAAAATGTATCTATTATCGTCATTTTGCATTGAATTTGTGCAATATTTTAATGTGGAGAACAAAATGGCGTGGAATTTTTTTTTAATGGCACCGCGATTATAACATCCTGTTGATTTACAAAAATAATTATGTTGAAGTTAAACTCTTTAACTGTACGCTATTGATGATGTAGATTAAAGATTGATTAGAAATTGATATGATGAAGGTTAAAGCAGAATTAAGATTTTAATTTTTTTTTCTATATGTAAAATGTGTACATTAATTTATTGTGTATATTAAGATAAGTCTTAGTGTTCATAGATTTTAACAAGAACTGTTTAATAGGAAAGGACATGTAATGTTAGTTAACTAAGAAAATTGTAAAAAATATTGTTTAAATATAAAAAAAAGTTAATAAGAGGTTATATATAAAATTTTGGTCGTTTCATTTGTTTCGTCGTAGCGGTCCAGGATTTTTTATCCCTTTTGTTAAAAAGATATAATCGCGAAGCATTCAATTCATGTATCAGTTTTATTTTTAGATTCGATTTCTGATTAAGTAGGACGAATATACATATATTGGAATCATGATCTAATAGATCGGTCTCCTACTATATCTCTGTGATACAGCAATGACGTTTTGCATTTTCATTGAAGTTCGAAAAGGTCCGGTATAAAGTTTGCAATGGTGAATGTTAATCATGACCTAAACTCCAAATGAACAGTTGTACTTATATTTCGATAAAAGCATATCTGTCCTATCCTAATATTGAGCTTATATTACTCATATTAAGTTACCTTTTTTTTCCTCGCGATAACAAAAGCTTTTAAAGGAATTTGCTAAAAGATTGTAGTGAACGAAAGATACGTCACGCGTACTTTGTGGGCATTTCCGATGGTGACTGTGATTGATCAAAATACTATAATCTGTATAAACAATTATATCTATAATTTGTCATTAACATGACGTAATGTAAAAGTACACTACATAGTAGTTTCTGTTAGTGGGGTGGTTGAGTAACGACCCTTCTCCCGCCTGCAAAACAAAGTTATACCATTTACTATCCAATCATTTTAATTTAAAGTAATCCATGGATATTTTCGTGATATATTTTTAAATAAAAATACCTATATTTAATTTTAACGACGATGACGAGTAGAATATGTGTACATCATAACACGAAGGGTGGTGACGGTTTGTTCGCAAATTACAATGTGGGTTACGTTGGTAGGGCCACGCAGCAGCCTCGGCTGTTGCACGAATGGGCAGGCCCGTCCGGGTAAGTACCACCACCTCACAGAAGACCAGCGTAAAGTGGAAGTATGACAAATTTTCTTTCGCGTTTCGTCTGGTGAGTGAGGTAGCTGGAGCCCAATTTTCAAAAGGTTGTCAACGCATCTGTAACTCTTGGGTGTAGCAGGTGAACCGTCTGCTCGTTTGGCAACTTTTCACGTAAAAAAAAATTAAAAAAAAAACAACGTGGGTGTCTTCAAGGCAAGAATGAGTAGGTTTCTACTGATTAGCGCTTTTATGACCAACGACTGTGTTGCCATTTACCATCGGGTGGGATGGTCAAGCAATAGGTGATAAAAAAAGAACGAAGAACAGAGGTCAAAGATGCAAATGTTGTTTCACCTTAAAGGCCCTGGCGTTTCGTGTTTGAGTACTATATCGATTTTCCAGCTTTAATAATTCAGTTGTTATTCTAACAAAAGAAGGCAATGAATATGTATCTAAATACTTCTGTTTTAACATGTAAGATTCAAACAGACTTATTAAGATTGAAACTTCCAAGTATGGTACTGTGATTAAACATAATGATTTATACCTAAGAAGTATAGGCGAGGGGTGAATGAATGACCTGGATGGAGTGAATGGTTTGATAAGGTCACGTCGGTGATAGTAGTTAGATTTTGTACGATACATGCATATAGTGTGATTTAGAGTTGCACGATTTGATTCCTAACGTCTCTTTCCATTATCGGACAACTAGACGTACGGCGGGCTACTTTCGCTGTCGACGTTCAACTCACAAGAACGAAGCGATTCCCTTCCTCATTCATCATCCAGACAACTAAGGAATGGAACAACCTGCCGGCGTCCGTCTTTCCGTCCGATTATAACGTAGGCGTCTTCAAGGCTGGCGTCTTCGTAGGCGTCGTCAACGGCTGCATAACTACTTACCATTAGGTGGGATGGCAGTCAAGCGCTGGCCAGTTAAAAAAAAAACCCAAAACAATTACCTCATCTGACGCTGTCGTTGAAACGATTCATACCCGGATGTCTTCTTCAAACATAACCTCAATATACAGCGTGTCGTTACCATCGCGACAATAAATGAACACACGTCTAACGCTACTTGCCAATAATCATAAAAAAATATTAACGTTAAAAAAAATCCATAATTAAAATTTTTTTTTTCAAACAAACTAATTAAGTAAAAAAGAAACAAAATTTGTAACATCCTATACAACTCGCGCCACAGCGTCGCATTACAAGCCTCTCCTTCTAACAGTATGTTTTGTCTCATTTTAATTCATTCAACCCATATTACATGCTTTGTAACCTTTACAAATGAACTTTACGTTACAGTTTTATACGCAAGGGTGTTCTAAAATTCTTTGTGTTGGAAAATTTAATAACTCTGTAAATATTGATGTTTAAAGAATGTAAATGTTTAATTCAATTTTAAAAAGTTATCCTCTATATGTGTGTTCATTTATTGTCGCGATGGTAAAGACACGCTGTATATATATGCCTTAGAGAAAGGGGGGAATATTGAAATGGTTAAAGCTTTCTATATTTTATATGGCTTGAAGTACTTCCTTTGCGGGATAAGTAGATATCAAAATTTTATTGATTCTGTTGTTCACACTATTTCTAGGCTTATAAGGAACCGGGAAAGATATGGGTCAGACCCATGGAGCAATATTTCTATTTCGCAAAATGGCCAAAACCAATTTTTGTAATATGAATTTCGTTAATAATGTTGCGATCTATTTTTAACTAAATGGCAAACACGTGCCTGCTAAGTAGATATTATTTATTTAAACCTTTATGCACATTAAACGTACAATGGTGGATAATATGTTCATATGCGCTTAGCACACCGGTAGATATAATGTTTAATGTTAGACATCATGTTTAACTTGAGACTGCTGACTTAGGGAATATTTAATTAGGGCTGAGCTTTTGTCTTATATGCAGCTGAATGTGGGTTAGATTCGCGAGATTTTTAAGAGTAATATAAAAGAAACTTGACATTATTTATATGTTATACGCCATTTGGCGACCATATGGTCGGCTCCCTAGCCGTAAGATATAAATGCACTACATTATTGGAAGTCTATTCAACGTTTTGAGTTCTTTCTTCGCATGACGGGAAAGAAACCTATATCTGTCGTATGCATTTCTTTTTTCATGTAGTAACGTATCTGACCTACTCATGTCTTTGAGTCTAGCATGAATGGAATGTTAAAGTTCCCTTTAAATGACGCGTTTCGAAATTGCGTCCAATCACGTATTAATTGCACGCCAATAAATCACGCTTAATAAGGTGAAACATCCCCTTTATTGCGTGCGGTGACGGTGCGCAGTTGGCTTAATTAGGGCCACTGCGCATTATCAGGAGGCTTCCATCAGCCTCCTGATGTATTAGCCCTGTGATGCCGATCGGTAGTGAAGGTAATAGTGATTGATACGCGAAATAGATGCGGATTTCGCCGCGAAATGAGACTGTATACGTCACAGATTATATATTATGATTGGATAAAAAGATACACATAAAGAAAGTAGTGAATGTCTTGTGAAAATAATCGCAGTTTTATTGTTCATATATTGTATTACTGAACAGTATTTTAAGTATTGGGTACTTATAAGAGTATCATAAAGAAGTTGAATATGTTTATTACTTCTTGTATTTATGTTTAATTACACATTAAAGCATCGAAATTACTAAATGAATACTACAATTACGTACAGCCTCGTTAGTCGTGAGTAAGTTTAGACTACATTTTCTTCAAATACGGGCATGCTTTTAGTTAGATATCTCATTATTTGTATTATACGGTGTTATGAAAGTTTAAAGAGTATCATTATCATGCTCAGTGGTGAAGGAAAACGTCGTGAGGAAAAATGTATATTTACAAAAAAAAAACTATAGTGCAGTGGAAATGACCTTTAGAAAATTTAGAAAAGCCACCCAGTATACGTCATTGTATACGCCAATTGGTGTAATGAGGTTGCAATTTTATGGATTGCTATCTCTTTCCGTATCATCCCTCCCGAATATGTCGTATAAAATGAAGCAATACAATTTTATACTCCGGTATCCAGTATGGACATGCGTTATCTTTATTAAAACATCATAGATTTTAAAATGTCCTTTTGATTGAATGAATCTGAAATACACAATAATTCATAAAATTTTCTGAATAACTGTCGAATTTTGCTACATCATTTTCATCTAATTTATGCTCATCTATTTCCATAATCATTTTTAGGATTT